CAATATAATTTATAATCTATAATAGATATATAATAGATATGTTTATATCTATTATATCTATTATATATTATATATAATTGGTTTATTGAAAGGAACAATTAGCACTTAATTGTTTGATCAATCTTGCATACCTATACCTGGTAATCTGAGCAACTACTTTGAAGAAAGCAAAATGCAATATAACAGTCATTGTTAATTTCCTATCACCTTGTTTTGAAATTCTGTATTGTTTTCATTGTTTTATTTTTGTCTTTGTTTTTGCCTTTTCTCTTTAAAATAAACTAAAAAGAGAAAAATCTAAATAATCAAATTTATAACCAATAAAAGAGAATAAATCAGATATGCAATAGTGTATCATTCCCCATTCCTGGTATCCTTCTCTTTACGATGTCCACAGAGGTGCCTACATCATGAATTAGAAACAAATAATTCCTATTCACTTTCCTGATACCTTTATATTAATATATAGATATTTACAAATAGTATTTAATTTTGTTTTGTGTGGTCTAAGGTGGTTATAAGTGTGCTTTTAATAGAGGGTATAGATGTATTGTTTACATTTCATTAAAGAATTTGATTTTTATACTTATCTGTACATCATGGAAACTATATATTGTAACACTACCTTGTATCAGACAGGAAAATCTGTAAGCTAAAACAAGTCTTCCTTTAAGAAGGGGATCACCTGTAATTAAAAGGAAATTATGAAAAAAAATATAACTCAAATCTAAAAATGGCTGTTCTTGATCCTGACACCAAGAAGTACATTTCATCTGAGAGCTGATAAAGATCCTACAATAGACAGCACCTTTAAAGATCCCAGGGTTAAATTATGTAATCACTGGTGAATTGGGTGGAAGTAAAGCCTTGCAAGGGAGTGCCCAGGGGCCAGCTCAGAGGAGCAGTGCATGCTCTCTGGTGGGAGCCATGAGCAGAGGGCCCTGCTAGAGAGTGGGCAGGTTGAGGTTGACTGAGGTAAATGAGACCATTGCTAAGCAGGAAAATCCTGCACCATGTCCTGCTCACACCTACCACATGCGCAGTAGTGCTAAAAGTACCTTCTAGCCACAAAACCTGGTGATTTCCTTCTTTCTCTTCACCCACATGACTAAATCTTCTACCACAGAGTTAGAAAGCAAGATACTTGATTTCTTAGCTTTCCATGATTGTTACAAGTCACAGATATGGGCAGTGAGATGAAAGTGTCTTTTGTGGTGGGGTTACTTTCCCAAGTAATGTCTCCCCAGCAGAAAGCCTTGGGCCTTTCTCTGTCCTGACTTGGATCAAGAAAAGCATGCTGAATACATTGTGAGAAACCCCACTCCTAGGTTTACTGTCCACATCAACATAACTGTCTATTTCCAGAAACTCTTGTCTAGGAAGATTGCAAATAACTTTACTATTCATTACAAGGACTAGCTGGATGGTACATAAATCTTTAATAGAAAGCATCATACAGTTTGCACCCTAAGAGACTTTGAGCTTTTCACATCAAAATTCTCATTTTCTTCATTCACCAACACTAATTATCATTATAGTGTGATGTTACCCAATCTTAACCAAATCCCACATCAAAAGATAGGCCTTGAATCTGATTTCAGTCCCAACTTAGTGGCCCTGAAGATGAACCCATATGGAAGGCAGAATGATGCACAGCAGGATTTTGGATTCTTTTTTTAAAAAAATTTTATTTTAAAGAAAAAAAACAAAATTTCTAACCAAGATAATAGGAGGGTAGCAATGGTTAATACATTGTGTATTGTTATCTTTAAATTAGTTACTCAGAGTACAAGATATCAGCGTTTAATTGTCCAAACAATATTGTCACAAACTTTCAATGAACTAAGGGAAATTAGCTGTATAACTATCTTAACTATCATATATATATATATATTTTTTTCTTTTTTCTTTTCCCTTCCTTCTTTTCTCCATTCCCCCAACCTTGATTCCTTTTGAAGTTTCTTCCCATTATATAGTATCTATTGTACATTTTGGATCTTATTTACTCTTTCAGTTTCTCACACCAGGGAGACAATACGATGTTTACACATGTGCATCTGGTTTGTTTCACTTATGAGTATGGCCTCAAGTTGCATCCATTTACCTATAAAAGTCTCAAGTTTATCCTTCTTTATGGCTGAGTAATACTTCATTATATAAAAAGACCACATTGTTTTTATCCATTCCTTGGTTGATGGGCATTTGGGTTGTTTCCAAGATCTAGATATTACAAATTGTGCTGCTGTACACATGGGTGCACATATATCACTGTGGTATGATGTTCTTAGCTCTTCTGGCAAGATACCCAGAAGGGGATTAGCTGAGTCAAATGGCACCTCCAATCCTAGTGTTTTGAGGAATCGCCACACTGATTTCCACAGTGGTTGCACCAGTCTACACTCCTACCAACAGTGGAGAAATGTTCCTTCTTCTCCATAGCCCCTCCAGCATTTGTTACTGGTTGTTTTCTTGATGATAGCCATTCTTTCTTGGGTGAGAAGAAATCTCAGTGTTGTTTTAATTTGTGGCTCTCAAATGACCAGTGGTGTTGAACATTTTTTCATACATTTATTTACTGTTTGTATTTCTTCATCTGAGAAGTGTGTATTCATCTCAGATGTCCATTTTTGGATTAGGTCTTTGAATTTGGGAGGTCTGATTTTTTTGAGTTCTTTATGTTCTCAATAGTAAGGATTCTGTATTCTTGATGACAGCATAAAACTGCTGTAGCAGAGTTGGACCAACTACCTGCAGACTTCTTATTGCGTGAATCAAATACACTTACTATACACCCCAGACCATAAGCACCAGATCTATTACATATAAGCCACTGTACTAGGGTTTCTTCTTTCTCATGACCCACACATTCTTCACTGACACCACAGGGTACCTGAGAGTGGTGTGCTGACTATAGCAGAGCCTACAATGTGGCCTCATCTCAGTGGGGGGAGTAGATACTGAACACTGTAAGCTGAAAATGTTCGAACCATTTTTATGAGATGGAAAATTATCAGGAAAAGGCCAAATGAAGCTTAGGGCACAGATCACATACTACCTGAGGCTGCAGAAAAGGGGAAAGAGCAGGATTATTTCAGAATATTGGTGTGAACAGATTATTTCTTGCTTTAGTCAGGAAAGTGCTGGCAGAGAGGAACAGTTTCAGACCAGATATCACAACAGAGATGGAAGGAATACTGATTTGCTGAAGGGAGTTTTGGACTATAAACTTGAAATCTAAGCCTGCCGCAAGTCCCATTATTTGAGTATCTGCTTAACTATGAAAGCCACTTGCTTTTGCATGGGACACAGAAGTTACAAGGTGGCAGCTTTCACAGTGGCCAAGATTGATGCTCAGCTTTATCAAGAATATTTACTGAAATACAGTAGTATCCTTTTTCTATGAGGATATGTTCCAAGACCCCCGGTGAATGCTTAGAACTGTGGATAGCATCAAATCCCACATACACTACTTCACATACCTGTGATAAAGTTTACTTTATATATAAGGCACAGTGAAAGATTTATAACAATAATTTGCTGTAGGTCTCAGCAGTCTTCAAGATACAATTTTTTTCTTTCCCTGTTAAGTCAAGAACTTTCACATTTTTCATGTAAAGGAAGCACGTTGTAGCTTTTCTTTGGCAAGCTGGAATTGTCAGCATTACCACTGTTGTGCACTGAGGCTATTACTAAGTACAATTGTTAGGTACAATTAAGTACAATACTTTTACCCAAACACAAGAATTGATACCACAACAGCTGATGTGACAACTGTGACAGCTACTAAGTAACTAAAGGCGTATGGTGTACATGCATGGATGCAATGGATGCAGGGGAGATTTGATCACACCTCTCAGAATAGAATGTGATTTAAAACTCATGAAGTATTTATTTCTGCAGTTTTCCATTTAATTTTTCAGTCTGTGGTTGACTGTGGGTAACTGGAACTGTGGAAGGCGAAATCATGCCAAGGGTGGGAGGAGACTGTTGTATATCAGACACAGTCCTGTTTAGTGAGGTCAAGTCAGTCAGACAGCCAGTGTCACGCTGGGGTTATTGTGATCTTTGGATCTGAGTCTATTCCGAATCGCCTCAAAGCAGCGTCATTAAGTTAAAAGATATTCAACCACGTGGACCAATGTTTAAACGCCATTGTTATGCAAGAGCTGTCAATTGCTAGAACTCTCAAAGTAAAAGCAAATGCAAAAGGAGCAAATTAAATACTAGATATGTACAACATCATGCAGATTGGAGAATCCTTTTTTTTTTATTTTAAAGAGAAAAACCCAAAATCAAAACCAACACAATAATACAGAATTTCAAAACAAGATAATAGGAGATGAACAATGGTTACTATATTGCATATTGTTATCTTCAAAGTAGTTGCTCAGATTACAAGAGATAGGCACGCATAACTGATCAAACAATATAAACACAAACTAGTTTTTTTCAACGAACTAAAAGAAGTCAGTAGTATAACTATCTTATCTATCTTATGTATATATATATATTTTCTTTTCTCTTCTTTCTTTTCTCTTTTCACCCATTCCAGTTGTTCTTTCATTTTGAACTGTTTCTTTCCCTTTCACAATATCTACTATAAATTTTGAGTCCTATTTACTCTTTCAGTTTCTTACACTAGAGAGACAGTACAATGTTTACACACGCTAGATTGATTTATTTCACTTATGTGCATGGTCTCTAGTTGTATCCATTTATCTATAGAAGCCCTGAGTTTGTCTTTCTTTATAGCTGAATAGAACTTCATTATATAAAAATACCACATTGTTTTTATCCATTCTTTGGTTGATGGGCATTTGGGCTGTTTCCAAGATTTAGCTATGACAAATTGTGCTGCTATAAACATGGGTGCACATATATTGCTGTGCTATGGTGTTTTAGGATAGCTGGGTCAAATGGGACCTCTAATGTTAGTTTTTTTGAGGAATCAAATGGAGAATTCTTAAAAGTATTTTAGAGACAAGGCAGTATTGATTGTACATTTTCACTGATGTAGTTTTTTTTTTTAAAGGGCAACTGAAATGTTAAATCTTGTTATTTATCAAGTCATTTTTATTTTGATATCATTTTGAACCCTATGTCAGTAGATAAATGAAATATGTAATTAATCTAATGTTGTAAGTACTAAGACATTAGTTAGAAAGCAATAGTATAGCTCACTGGATAATAAAAGAAAGGCATAATTAGAGGTGAGATAAGTGGTTGGAATTTAATCTTAAGGTGACTCAGACAGGGTGTATCTTTCTCAGGGATACAGAGGGAAAGATCAGCAACAGAACAAAAGGAGACACCAACCTTTAGACCTCCAAATCATTGTCAGGCTTTCTCAGTTGCAGTTGACAATATCTGGGTAGAGCCAACGGTCACCCTAGACATTAGCCACCAGATCTATTGCATTAATCCTTCAAACCCAAACCGACACAATCATCCTCCTGCCCATTTTGTGCCTGGGACTCAAGTTCTGGTTATGAGTACCTGCCTGGCATCTGACCTTGCTTAGCTTCTTGGCCAAGCCCTCTTCTAAACATAGAAGAATGATACAGGCCTTGTTACCTGACCTCAAGTCTCCTGGAAGTCAGCTGTGCCAGCCTCCTGATCAGATTCTTTACCACTGGCTCATTCCACCTGTTCACATCTACTGTCCCACCTTCCACACTATAGATTCACATTGGCACACTTTGCCATGCCTCACAAATCCTGATTCTACTTCTAGACTCTTGTGTTTGTACCTGAAACTGGATCAGCTTCACTAGAATCCATCCAAAAAAGCTCTGCCTTTCTAATATAGGAGCCTAGCACTCTCCTAGCAGCCCTCTTGGACAAAATAACCAGTAATGGCCTGGCTACATTTTGGGATATAGAAGCATCCAGGCGAGATGGGACAATAGGAAAATAGCAAACCCATGAACACTGAGATCGTCACTCCCCAGGAATAAATTTCAGCCCAGAACTTTGCTATTAACTGTACCTTACTTTCTATAGCCAAGCTCCGTATACTTGAAGGGACAAATGGCACCAAAAATGAAATCCATGTAGGTTTTTCTTTGCTGTTCTCTGGGAAAATAAGTAAAACTACTGAAATAAAAACATGCTGTGGCTATTCAGAACTTGCGATAGCAAAGGACTGGCCATGATAGCTAGTATTTCATAGAGGTTTAAAGGCAGCAGAGGAGCAGGAAAGCTTTTTGGAGTTGTTGTCATGGAGAAGCTGTGTGATTGGTTTGAGCACAGACTTGGCTTTCTTTGGTTGGTGCTAAGTTGGCAATGGTGTCAATAGATAGAGCAGCTGGCACATCTGCCCATGTCCTGACAGTTTGGGGCTGATGGTTAGGAGGTCGTGAGCCCGAGTTCTGCTGTCACACATGGTCTGACTGTTGTCCATTGTATATTCAGCTTCTTACTTCCTCAAGATCCAAGTTCATACCTTCAAATGAAGAATGAACGTTTTCTTGCCCTATCTTCGTTGTCACTCTCACAGGCTGACAGGGTGCGTTGGAGGTGAAGATGAAGTATCCAGGATTTGCAGCAGATTCCAAAGTGAAATAGGAGTTATCTTCTTTCTTAAGGAAGGTGAAGGGCAGACTCTCCTTCTTTTTCAGTGAATTCAGTTTTTTGATGTTCGTTTTCTGAAAGATGGAGCAGAATTTGTTATTAATTCCTGTAGCTTGGATCTGGAACATCCTCACAAAGCAACAGGACCAATAAATCATGGTCAGAAATCTCCAAAACTATGAAACCCACCAAATCTTCTCTTTTTGTAGTTTGGAATCTTCGGTATCTAGTACTTCTGCCTCATAAAGGCCAGTGTTTGGTCCCCAGCTCAGCACTATTGATAGGGGGTGGAAACTTTGTGAGTGGGGACTAGCAGAAAGTTTTATGTTCCTAGGGATGTGACCTTGAAGGGGATTGTGGGGCTTTGGCTCCTTTTTTTTGCATTCTGGCTAGAAGGTGAACAGTTTTGCTTTATCTTCTCCTCTTTAGGGACAGCCAAAAAAATAGAATTTTCCATTCCCTTTCTTGAGTGTGTTGAAGTTGATACCTAAAAGATTTCTAGGAAAAGTCAGAAATTGTGTCATATCTAGAGGAGAATTTTTTTTGGTATCTGTTACTATGGCGGAAAGCTGACTAACATAGTGAGTAGCCAGGCTCCTTTGTGAAGGCAAGGAGGAATGATCAGAAATGTCTTTGCTGAAGCTTAGGGTTTTAACCTTAGCTTTAAGTTTTTCCACCTCCCTGCTTTGGGAGGACAGGGGAAATTTCCTCCAGCTCTCTTTCCTTTAATTCTAATGAAGGATGCTTTGTTTTTTTGACTTGATCACAGCAGAGACAGAGCTCCCCTTTAGAGACAGCCAAAAAAATAGAATTTGCCATTCCCTTTCTTGAGTGTGTTGAAGTTGATACGTAAAAGATCTCTAGGAAAAGTCAGAAATTGTGTCATATCTAGAGGAGAATTTTTTTTCTTTTGCTGTTGGGGTTTCCAATATAACCACCCTCTTTTCTTTAGTCATGTCATCACATTCCCACCCCTGCATCAGCCCAGGAGCTAAGAACATCTGTATTTTGAGTTTTCTTCTTCTTGCATCTCTGGTTTTGTTTTCCTCCCAACTCCTCCAGGGAAACTTCCTTTGGATCAGGGACCCCTTTGGGCCTATCTTCCTATTTTCCCCTTGCTCATCATCAGGGGCCTCCTGAAGCTGTTCCCAGCAGCAGTGCTTCATCCTTTCAGGAGAACAGAGGAGCCAAGCAATACTATTAAATAGGATCTCCACCCAACTAAGGGTGGGGGGTGTGCAAGAAGATAGACCACTTCTGAGTAAAGAAAGCTTCAGAATCACCTCCAGTTTGGTAGAATTTGTCTGGAACTGCCACAAGGATGTTGCCATGCAAGACCAGCACCTGTTGGTTTGTGTCTCGAATGTGATATTTCTTTGGGGTTACACGTTTCAATTTTGAACCTGGAAAATAGTGCCATAGATTTTATGTAACTCCCTGGTCTGAGTTCTGCCTCTGATCCCCACTTTGTTCCATAGGTCAGATAACAGGTTTTTCTATCATTTTCACTCAAATTCATTGATAGAAGAATGCTGGCCCCTCCAGTGATTAGCCATTTGGGTGCTGGGGCCACACTGACTCTAGGTCAAATCCCCATGGGGCCATTTTGGAGATGAAGAAGTTACTAACTTCACAAAGTCTCATGTTGCCTGCGAGTAAAGTGGGGATAATAAAACCTACCTTAAGTAGGGTTGATAGGAAGAATAGGAGCAATTCAATGGAAGCTCATTATTAGTAGTATTAATAGCAGTTTTGATAACAATCAGTGAGGCTTCATTGCAATTATTGGTAGTAGTGGTATTGATAACTTTCTGTTCTGCATCCTCACATAGGTGGCCCCATGCCATCATCACAGCCAGGGTGGCATAGATCTCTGCCATGCCACATACTGGCTGTGCAGCTGGTGATGACAGCAGAAGGGTGGGGATGACAGAACAAGGCAGGAGTACCCACAAGCCACAGTTTATGTCAGGAAGGGGCTGGAGATGCATGAGTTTGGGGTGTAGGGAATTTGTCTGCCTCTATGGGGCCTGAGTGGGCAGGACCGGCTCCAGCAGTGGCCATTTGCCTCAAAGGTGGAGGATTTTGGCCTTCATTTGGGTCACCTGCGCCTAGAAGAGTAAATCCCATCCTGGGAACTTGAGCCTACAGCCATCTCTGACAGAGCAGAGGATCCACCCATTAGTACTGAGCACAGATTTTGCATAGGGATGGCTGAGAACGCAAATGTAGGGCGGGTGGCTGAGTCTACTTAGACTAAGAATAACAAATGTGCTGGGGATATAATTCAGTGGTGCAGCACCTGCCTGGTAAGCATGAGCTCGTGAGTTTGACTCCTGGTACCAAAACAAAAAAGAATAACAAATATGGAATGTGATAACGTGATAGATCATCTTGTAGAGTAGCACTTATACTATACAATACTTACATATGCAAACACAAACCCACACACAGTCTTATCTCTTACTCTACAAATGTGAAGCCTTTAGCTGGGACCTCTGACTTGTACTCTCCTCCCTTTCCTTGGCTGTTCACATCCTCCCTGTTCTGCAACCCCAGGTCTTATGTCTCTTCCTCTCTGAAATCTTTCCTCCATCCCTCGGTGGGGAAAAGTGTCTTCTCCAAGCAGCCCCACCCTCAGTCTGTGCTTGGCAGAAGGGAGCTGTATTACAGCACCTTCTATTGCTGTTACTACATCCATATATAGGATTAATCCTATACTTTCATAGCGCCTGGCTTGAACAGTAAACAGCACTAAGTCAGTGCTTACTAAAGAATGACTTCTGGTCTGGAGGAAGCTACCAGCATGTTCCCTGAGGTGCTCCTGACAGCAACTGTGTGTGACTTTGGTAGAGGACTGAAGCAGGGAAGGGAAGCAGAACACAGATGTACTGGGCCAGCTCCTGCCCCAAGCAAGAGTCAACACTGTTAACACCAACCAAACCAGCCCTGCCCTCAGCAAAAGCAGGGGAGGTCACCCCTTTCTGAGCCATTGAATACCTCTCATCTCTTCTCTCTTCCATGTGATCCTCACAGCACTGGATGGGTGGGAACACTGTGAGACTCCAACTGATGTCTACCAACCTCAGTGTGTGCGATGGGAGGAGGCCCTGGAGGCAGGCAGACCCTGAGAATCCCACTCTGCTACTTTGCTGGCCAAGGGTGGTGAGCATCTGAATCTTCCTTCTGGTGCTCAATCTTCATTGGAAAAGTGGGATTATAATACTTTCCTACTACTGCTGTTGTGCAGTCTAAATTATATCCCTTGTGGCAAGTGCCCAGGCTGGTGTCTAGTGTGTAATTTCTCAATAAATGTGAATTTTTTGTCCTTTCGCCAGGGCACCAAATCTTGTACTAACTTCCTGGGTTTATTCTTCCCCACAAGGTCAAGGTGCTCAAAGCTAAAAATGAAAGGCTGGGTAGCAACTCCCCTCCTTGTCACCCTAGGACCCCTCAGAAGGTACCTGATTTGAAAGAAAACACAGAAGTAAGGCTGGGATCTGACAGTAGATGGCCTCTTGCTGAGGATGGGAATCAAAGACAACAGGTTAGCAAATGAAATTCCATTACCTTGGGATTTATATATAGTTCACTGGGTAGGGAATGATTTAATTCCTGATTACTCCAGTTCCTGAAGCGTGGTCTGTAAAACACTCATGCAGAAATGTAGTAATACTCCTAAATAGGTTAGGAGAATTTTGGGAGATTCTGGGTTCAACAATGTTAAGTGTTTTTGTTGTTGTTGTTGTTGTTTTTTTTTTTAGAGGTCTCACTGCCATTTTTCCAAAACATTTTGGGAAGATTAATAAAGTTTTTCTACCAGTTGACCTAGCTACATTTCTCCTGTCTGAAAGGGAGTCTCTTTTCTCTCTGTTGGAACTGCAGATATATGTAAGTCTTTCAACATGAAAGACTTTAGCTTTGCTTTTAAACTTCTTTTTTAATTTAGGAAATGCAGCTTTGGAGCTGCAAACTATTCAATTGGAAAAAAGTGGTTTAAAATGTGAAAAGAATTTTAAATATGAGCACATGCATTAAAAGCAGATACACCTGGGGTCCTGAAGCAAAATATGTTCACCTTTACTACTTTCTGTAACTGACCCTGTCTACTTACAGTCCTAAGATTCAGATGTCTTGCAAGTTGGACAGAGAGAACATGGTTTCTTTAGACAGTTTTTAATACAGTTCCGTATCTGGGAATTATTTCTTGACGCCGAGGATGGATTTGTGGAGATGTCTTACCTTCTGACTCTGACTGGGATTCATCTTGGTCTCTGCAGGGCAGCTCAGTTTTTGTGAATGAACTGCCACCCAAAGAGGACATTGCCCCACCTGAGAAAGAACACAGTGGGAGACAAGGGGGAAGGCAGGGCCTGCATAGCTGTGGGTATTGCTTATGGGAATTTGAATCCTACGAAACCTCTCCCAGTGTCTCTAATACCTACAGGGCGGTGCCCTCACTGTACTTGGGAATGTTGCTTCAATAACACGGGACCAGATCATGCCATTTCATAATGAACTCTATTTTGATTTTATCCACAAAGGTAATTCCGTGTTTTGCCTATCAAATGACTACTTATTTTTCGTGGCCACTTGCCACATTTTATTTTCCATGTGTACAGACTCACCAGGAATCACTGGGGGTCTTGCTAGAATGCAAGTTTTGATTCCATAGGTCTGGTGGGTCCTGAGAGTCTACACGTCCACAAGGTGTCAGGGATGTTGACACTGCTGGGTCACATAGCATACTGAGTATCCAGGCCCCAAGGGACTCCACATCTAGTGTCCTGGTGCAGAGCATGCTCACAATCATTTCTCTGCCGTAGGGTGGAGTGGGGTACAGTCTCACTTCTCCTTTGGCTCTGCACAGCACTTTACAGTGTAAAGTTCTTTTACATATGGGAGCCAGGAAAGCCTCAGCATGAGACTGGAAAGAACACAGGTCAAGAACTTTTTAATTTTAATTTTAATTTTATTTTTATATTTATTTATTTTTGTGATTCCCCCCGTCCCTGGTACCGGGAATCGAACTCATGACCTTGCGCTTGCCAGGCAGATGCTGTGCTGCTGAGCTAAATCCCCAGCCCCGGGTCAAGTACTTTTATGCCAATATAGAGATGGAAAAATTGAAGTTGAGAAATATCCCTAAGGTAACAGAGGTAGCAACAGGTAGCAGAGCCCTGGCATTCAAACCTGGACTTCTCAAATGCTTTCCCCCATACTACACCAACCCCCTGTGGAGACACCACTAGGCTGAAGATCACTGGACATGAATGCTCATTTTAGCCTTGCCACTGACACACAGAGTGACATAGCTAAGCTGTGTAAGCTCCTGGAGGCCCCAAAGACACACAACGGGTTTGTTGATATCTCAGAAAGCTCTGGCATTTTGTGATAACCATATGGGTTGGAGAAATTTCCCAAACTTTAAAGTGTACATAAATTGTCTTAGGCCTTTTTAAAAAGGTGGAGTCTGATTCAGTATATCAGAAAGGAGGGCCAAGGCTGTGTTTCTAATGAGCTTCTAAGGAATGCAGATACAGTCAACTTATGGGCCATGTACTTAATTGTGGTTGTATCTTAAAATCACCTGAGGAACTTTAAAAATTATCGGTCTCTGGGTCTTGTGTTCAGAGTGGATGTAATTGGTCTGGGTGGAGAGATCAAGCGCTGGTGATTTCTTAAAGCTGAACAAGAACAAGCGTTGAGAATCACTACTGTGTATAGTTGGGCTTCCAGCTGAAAACAAGTTGCACCATCAGATGACAGCTTTCTGGTGGTTGCAAAGCTCCCCTCCTAGATTTTCTGTTATTAGATGAGTCATGTTTGTGAGATTTTATCAAGATTAAAACTATCTTGACTTTGTTTTCGTTCTTATACTATCTTAACCCAGAGCCCTTTGGGAGTCCCATTGGGAAATGAATCTAGAAAGCAGAGCAGAGAGTAGCACAGTGTCAACTTCTTTGTGGCCAGATTCAACTGGGGTCAGTGGCAGGTCACAGTACCCTGACATCTCCTCTTCCATCAAACTCAGTCTCCCATTGGATCAGGTTCAATCATCAGTCCAAGGTGTTATTATCTTACTGGTGTTTATAAGGTCATATTTATACCAATTTGGAAACATGATTCCCAAAGTGTAGAACCCTGGGCCGCCTCCATAGACTCACAGGGAGTGATGAGAGATATTTAAAGCTTTTTTTGAATGAAACATAGAACATCTACCAGACCTATGTGAACCATTACTATTAAGTTGTTCCACTTCAGGTAACTAATAGACTTGTCAAAGCATGTCTTTTGGCTTAAGGGATCTGTGAAAAAATTCCTGAGGTACTAATCAAAACTGGGACAGTTTGGGAATCTGTGGTTTAGAAGCTGGAGGCAGCTTTCTTTGGACAGAGTAGTGACGTGGGACTAGTAAGTCTTTTTCAATGTGTATTTAGGCGTGGAAAGAAAACTTACAGTGTGATTGGGATGTGTTTGGAGACAGAGGATTAGATTGATCTGCCTAGTAAAGAAGCAGCAGCCTGAGAAGAATAAGACAGGGGCCTGGAAATGGGAGGATCAGGGAATTAAAAGGAGACAGAAGCCAGAGAGCTGTGACTGGAAGTGCAAGGTGCCTCTGAGAAGTGTCTGACTTCTCTGAGAAGTGTCTAACCATGGCAGGTGGATTCTTGCAGGATGATGTCTGAGTTCAATATGCATTCTTGCTAGACTGATTGCATTCCTGTTGGCAGGCTCCTTGCTAGTCAAAGTGTATTCTGGGGATCAGAACATCAGCATGGTCAGAGTGCTCATTAGAAATGCAGAATCTGGGGTCTCATCTCAGACCCAGATCCAAACCCTGCATTTTAACAACATCCTGCACTGATTCTCACACACTTTGGCAAGTGAGAACTGTGCTAGATCACATAATCTCCAGCATGTCTGACATTGAAATAGCCAAAAAAGTTTAGAAAAGCACTAAAGATTGGTCCTGCTTCTCAGAGAGTCTTATTTAATTGATCTAGGAAACAGATTCAACACCAGGATATTTAAATATTGTTAAAGTTAGGTTGAGGAACAATTGGGCTGATACAAGACCTTGTAATCTAAAGTTCTGGGTCAGTTTGACCCCAATATAGAAGATAATTGATTGATATAACATATGTCTAAATATTGCATTGTCTTTCTGGTGTGAGAAACTGAAAGTGTAAATAAGTACCAAAAATGTATAATAGATATTGTGAAATGGGAAGAAAAAATGAGAAAAAACAAGGATAAAATGGAAACAAATCTTGGTAAATAAGGAGGGAAAGAAGGGTTGAATAGAGGGAGGGGAATGGGAAAAAAGAGGAATCAATGTATATCATGTACAGGTACAAATCCCCTATGATGAAGGTGATCATTATGCATATCTGAATTGTACCAATAAACTTAATTATTAAAATAATAAATAAATAAAATAAAATTAGAAAAAAGAAAATAATAAAAAGAAAATAATTGAAATACTGTATGTGAGCTGAGAGACAGAGAGAGAGAGAGAGAGAGAGAGAGAGAGAGACAAAGAGAGAGACAGATCAGCAGATATAAGAAACAAGTGGATACAAGCAGCATCCCTGAAATATTAGGACATAGGGAAGGCAGAGGCCTTCAACTCCAGAGCCAAAGACAGGGCTTTAGGAACCAGGCCATACAGTAGGAGGAGAGCAGCAAGAAAGCAGTCACTCTCAATGGCTTGCATTACTGCCTTAGCTCCACTGCTTGTCAGCTACGGTTAGATTCTTAAAGGAGCATGAATCTCACCGTGAACTGTGCATATACAGGATCTACCATGTGTGCTCTTTATGATAATCTAACCTTGAACCTCTTCCCACAAATCTCCATGGAAAGTTTGTCTCCCATGAAACTGGTCCCTGGTACCTAAAAGTTGGAAAGTATTGAAATAAGAAAAATGGGTTTTCCATTCCTTGGTTGATGGGCATTTGGGTTGTTTCTAAGATTTAGCTATTATAAATTGTGCTGCTATTAAAAGGCTTTTATTTATTTTTAATTTTTTTAGGTGCTGGGGATCAAACCCAGGGTCTTATGCATGCAAGACAAGAGCTCTGCCACTGAGTCACACTCTGCCATATACAGGACATGGGTTTAAATCAACTCCTACTTAAGCACTGCAAACAGGATAACCCCAGTAGTTTGGAGGATTGGGGACATCTAGGTGATTAACATCTAGTTACAGGTAATTATGATTTCAAGATGGCTCCCTCCCCATCAAAAGTTCCTGTGTTGGAAGCTTGGCCCTCACTGTGATGGTATTAAGAGGTGGTGGGATAGTAAGAGGTGTAGTTTAGCGAGAGGTTGTTATGGTGTGGATACGATGTGTCCCCCAATGCTAATGTGTTACAGGCTTGGTCCCCAGTGCAGCAGTGGTCACAGGTATGGTTTCAGGAGGTGACTGAATGATGAGGGCTCTAATTTTATTAATGAGTTACTCCTAATAACTCAAGGGCTTATCAGGAGATGGAGTATCATCTAATTGGTTGAAATAAAGCAGTGGGATGTGACATGGAAAGCTGTATTTTATCTAGGCCCTGTCCTTGAGCTTTCTTTGTCTCTGTCTGTCTCTTACCTCTGTCTCTCTCTTACCTTCTCCATCGCCTCTTCTCCTTCTTCTCTTCTTCTTCTTTATTTTTCTTTCTTGTTCCTGGATGCGATACAGTGAGCAGCTTTCCTTTCCTTCATCATGCTCTTCCATCATAACGTTTTGTCTTCTCTCAGGCTCAAATAATGGAGCAAGCCAACTACATAACATGTACCAAAATAAATCTGTAGTCCTTTAAGTTGTGCCTTTTTCAGATATTTCATCCCAGTGATGGAAAGATGACAACTCAGAGGTCATTACTCTTGCCAGTCTGTCTTGCTGTATGATGATTCCCTCCCACATGCATTCCTGCCAAGATGCCACCCACCAGGAGGTGACACAGCCAAGGGGAACTCTTGCCAGAGCTGGTGCTATACTATTCAGCTTTCAGCCTCGAAAACTGTTAACTAAATATAGCTCTTTTCATATGAGTGCCTCAGCTTCAGGTATTTTATTATAGTAATAAAGCTGACTAATATACAGACACAATTGTTCACAGGGTTCATAAAGTTCACAACAGATCTTCAATGGTATCCACTCAGGTGATAGTTACAGACCACGTAAAGAAATGCCACATTCAGTTATCTCAGATTAGTATCCATCAAAGAAAGAGAGACCAAAGTTGTTGATTCCCAAAACAATTTCTTATGACAGGTTAATGATGCCAGCAGTGCCTTACTACAAAGCATCAAGGTATTATGTTCACTAGCTCCATCATCTTCCTCTTCCTATCACTAGTGGCTCATTGATTTATGGTGTAAGCTCTCTTGGGTGAAAGTATGCTCTTGCACGTTGGAATAAGCTGTTCAGAGGAGGTCTTAGAGGTAAAATCAGGAAAGTCAGAAAATCCAAAGGGAAGAGATTCTCCTAGTGAGAAAAAATCCTAGCCAAATGAACAAGTGCTGTTCCATCTCCCCAACCATCAGGTCTATACTAAGAAATACAGTGTAGGTGTGGATCAGAGGATTGGAAGGGCCAAACTGGTGCCATACCCAGAAGGGAATTCCAGTAAAGTGGAGTGAGAATCACATACCTGGCTCAGGAATGTATGTGTCTGCAGCTCTAAATGGATGTCAGGAACTCTGGTAGATCTTCTGGTGCAACTCATAATGATCCTGGAGACTATTTCTCATTGTGAGTGATAAAATGGGAGTGGCTAGATCTGAAATTAAGACAGCGATAGGCAGTCATCCAGTAGATTTTTGGTGGGGCACATTAAAGATGATTGCAAAGTTTTTGACATATCCCTCATTGAAAGGTGAGGCCTATGTCCCATTTCTGGGATTCTGAGTGGGTTTGTCATAGCTTGATTAATGACACACAGTAGACACGAGGTATTCATTTCCAGTCTTTCCTAGGTTTTAAGGGGCTATCAATCTTTACCTGCTCTTGCTGTACAGTCACCTAACTGTGACAGGATCCTGACAGCCCCACTGAAATCAACAGGAGATTTCCTGACAATCACAACTGAAATTTATCCACAGCCATCACCAATGGTCTCCTAATTAGTAAGTCATGTAGTACTGCAGCCTCCAATCCCAAATGAGTGATATAGAAAAGAGTAACCTTAGCTGAGCCCTGTCTAAATTGCAGAATTATAAGTAAAATAAGTCGATAAATTTTGGGATCACTGGGACATAATTGGGTACCAGGGTGAGGTGTTACACTAACTAAAGCTTAAAATTTTTGCTGACTTTGTGTCTGGGGTGCAGAAAAAAGATTGGAGATATTATGAGCTAAATGCAAACTGTTCCCCCCAAAGCATCATTGTGTTTAGAGATGAGGCTTTTTGGAAGGGGTCTGGGTCATTGGGATACTACCATATGCTCATCAGTGAAGTGATCCGTTGATGAGTTCAAAGCTAAATGTCCTACTACATAATGGGGTCGGATTAGAGGTAGTACACTGGGGATGTTGTATTCTTCTCCTCGTCTCCTCTGTTTTCTCTCTCTGTTTCCGGGGTGCCAGGAGGTGAGCAGCTTTCTTCTACCATGCCTTTCCATCTTCCTGTCTCTGCCTTAGAGTCAGCTGACCATAGACTAAATCCTCTGAAATTATGAGCCAAAATTAACTTTTTTTTTTTTTTTTTTTTTTAAAATAAAAGGAGGAAAACATTAACAGACAGACAACCTTTTACAAAATAGCAGAAGAACAGTACAGACAATACAGAGTTACAAAGTGGTAGGAGATTAACAATGCTTGT